CAGTCTTGCCTGGGGTCACTACCTCCCAAACACATGCAGCTCTAAGGAGATGTATGCCATGAATCATTTGCCCTAACTGGGACTTTGCCTGAGCAAAGGTCAAGTATAAACTTGTAAAACTGAAATGGTTTGTCTGGTTTGAGAGGTATCTAGCTAGGTGGAGCCTCAGAGAGTGCATAACATTAATTCAATAAATCAGAGATATGCTGACTTAAATATCTATTTCTAGAGGTTTCCTTGTGAAAGGAGCATTTGAAGGTGTGCTAATTCCCAGCCATAAGAATTTTAATCACATATGCCTGGTGTCACAGACCATTTTAATCCAAATTGTGTTTTAGTCAAATTTGACCAGATGCATTAGATCTTAAAACTTGTCCATGTTTCTCTGCAGTTTAAAGTAAGCATTTATGCATTACAAGTGTGATAAAGAAATGTGTCGAGAAAACAAATTAATATCACATTGACTGCATTGTAAATTGTCCCTGCATTGCTACTTTCTTGTCCTGGTGCTGAGAGAATGACTGATAAGTGGAGGAGAGTCACTGCCTCTCCATAGGGCATATGCCACAGCACATAGTAGGGTGACCTGCAGGACAGATTGTATTTATTACCAAACAGTCAAAGAGTTATTAGCAGGCACAGTGCTATATCTTACCTTGGTTTGTCTAATCCAAGTTGAAAAACAGGTGTAATTTGGATTTGAACTTGGATGTAACATCTGATACTATGGCTGTTCACACACACTATCCATCCTGAAAGCACCTTTCTTTTGTGTTATAGTTATAAGTTCTTCTGGGTTACATTTCCCCTTAATGTTTCAGTAATTGTTTTTTTCTCTCTCCCCAATGCATCCATCTCCTTCCTGTCATCCATCTCTTGTTTTGTATCGATTTCAAGACTCTCTATTTCTTTCATTTCTCCTTCTCCCCTTCTCCTCACTGACCACATTTGGCCACTCAGACCCATTTAAAGGAGCACTGTGGAGAGTAAACTCCGCCTTTGGCAGTGCAAGGAGCAACCAGAGAAATCGTCTTGCAGTGGTCACACAAATCTCATCGGTGCCTTGGTGCTGCCAACCAATGGGAGCATCAGGATTTGTATCCTGCCCTGAGGAAAAGCAGGGCAAGTATTAGGCAAACTAATCACGCTGCAAGGATTTATGTAATGAAAAGTACCTCTGCTTGGGGATCAGAAATGGTGTCAATCAACCACACACCATTGGTTGGGTGTGCAGTTCATCCGGTATCTCTTCTGTCATGTTCACTATTGCAGTGTCTGAACATCTAGGAAGCAATAGCACAGCCTGGTCACTCTGGGATTAAGGCACATGGTTTGTCACGGGGTATTACTTCAGAGACTGCTGAACAAACTGCTTTACCAGATGCACTGCATGCAGGAGGGATGGCTCCACCTCACATCCAGCAGCCCTGTCTCTGCTCAGGGCCTCTACATGTTTCCTAATGCAAACAACACTAATGCAGACTTAATGATCATTGTCACTTCCATGTGCCTACATAGATCCCTTAATGAAATATTCTGGTTAAACTGCACTGGCACAAGCACAGTTCCATGATGGCAGGAGCCACAGACTCACTCTACCAAGAGAAAAGGTTCTGCAGGACCTGCCATGCAATAGGAAAGCTGTTGGTGAAATACTGTTTGACAGCTTTTCTGCCTGCTCCTGCAGTAAGCATGACACCCTCCTGTCTTCCTGGAGGGGAAAAAGGGAACAGAAGATGGAATTACCTTTATCTCAGGTTGGGACACAGAAAAAAAGTCTGAAATGAGAGTCTGTGGCAATGTGGATTTGGTACTTATTAATGGGTGGGTGCTATCCACTCAGTGCTGCTGTAACACACTTGCTCTTTGCTGTTATGGAATCCTGCTAGGAGCACTGATGCAGAAGAGAAAAACTTCGCGACATGCAGCATCACAGATTCTTTGTTCACCTATTGGCAAAAGCAGGAAACCAAATAATGAAAAAGCAGTAAAATTCTGTTAAATGACCAAATGTGAATTGTAGGCAACAGGAAGAGTAAAAATACTGAAAAGTGGTGGGTTTTTAAAGCTGAGAACATTATATGCCCAGTCTAAAATAAAGACAAAGATAACATTCGTACTCTTCACTATTTCAGAGATGAACAAAAGCACTGAGCTGACATCTTTTAAGTCATCAGCTCTGGGTAAGTGTTGCATCTCATAAGCAGAGCTGTCTAAATGTCACCTTTACTTTGGTCCTGCACATCTTGGCCCTTCCCCAGTCTCCTCCAAGCCCTGCTGACCTGCAGGCAGTTGCTGCCTGCAGCTGTCACAGGGTCCTGGGAAGTGCTGTAGGAGCTGGGGGCACCATGTGAGATGAGGGAATTCGCACAGTCCACATGGGTCATAGCACCTACTCCATCCTCCCTCCAGCTCTCTTGAGGCAAGGCAATGCTGAAGTTGCTGGTGAGTTAGTGGCTGAGCAGTGGAAACACTTTTCCCCTTACTAAAACCATATTTTCAGAGCATATTTTCAAAGTTAACTGCTAATGAATTTAAAGCAAGGGCAGCTGTCATTTAGTCCAGCTACTGTACAAAGTTCTTCTATAACGTCCTTGATGATTCTATTTGCTATGCACTTTCATGACAGCTAATGATAAAAGCTGCTTCAGCAGGACAGAAATCAGCATTATTTGGTAGCAATCGGCCTGTAATAGTTGAGAGGGACATTTCCTTCTGTCACTGAAAGGCAAACAGGAGAGACTGCTTCCTTTACTGTACCAGGGGCTGTGTGAGAGACACACAGGAAGAAGGGAACAATGACCAAGATTTGCATTTGCTGAGGGGCTGAGTACATTGCTCCCTTGTGAGCGGGCCAAGACCTTCAGCACATGAATTCTTGTGATTCATCCTCCCCCTTGGTCTACCTCTCTGCATCCAGCACGGTACAGAGAACTCTGTGTGTTTATTTAGACACAAAAAGGTCTTTGCTTGTTACTGTAGTATTTGGGTGCTTGGCTCAGGCTCCCAAGCCGAAGGGGAGTACAGACTGATCTGGTGAATCAGTATTTTTACTCTCTTGCCAGACCGCTGAGTGACCTTGGGCAGTTTGCAGCTGCCTCACGTCTCACCACCTCAGTTTCTGTAAAATTACCCCCTTTTACTTTGAATAGCATGTGGGTATCGACTGATGGAAGGGCAGGATATTATCGCTTATGTGTGGCTCAAATAAAGCCAATGACTATAATCCAGAATCAGCAAGGCAGAGAAATGGAGAGAGAAAAGGGCAGGAATGTGAAATCCTGCCTCTGCCTCAGCTGTTCTCTCCCCGCTGCCCTGCCTGAACACTGGCAGTTACAGCCCAACACACCATTCGATTTACTCTGTGCCAATCATGCTGAGAAGTTCAGGTAGCCCCCCAGGGCGTAATATGTGACATCTAAATAAGCCCACGCATGTTAGGATGAGTCTGTTTAAAGGTTGCAGATCTTCTGTGCTGGAGAATGGATGTTTTGGAGCAGACATCTGCCTTTGGAACACTCTGGATACTGAAGCCTAGTATCTAAAGGGTCTGACAAGAAATCTGGAGAGGGACTGTTTACAAGGGCATGTAGGGACAGGACAAAGGGGAATGGCTTTAAACTGGAAGAGGGGAGATTTAGTTTAGATATAAGGAAGAAATTCCTCCCTGTGAGGGCGGTGAGGCCCTGGCACAGATTGCCCAGAGAAGCTGTGGCTGCCCCATCCCTGGCAGTGTTCAAGGCCAGGTTGGACGGGGCTTGGACAACATGCTCTAGTGGAAGGTGTCCCTGCCTGTGGCAGGGGGTTGGAACTAAATGAGCTTTAAGGTCTCTTCTGACCCAAACCAGTCTGGGATCCTATGAAGCCTGGTGAGAAAGGCATCATGCTGCCCGCTCTCAGGATGGACAGGCATCAGTCCTGACTGCTGATAACACCATGTCAGCTGTAGCTGCCCAGTTTCTCATTAGCTGTTTAACATAAAACCATGGATGTACAGTGCAGTGTAGCTGCCAGTCTCTGGTGTGTCTCACAAACATACTCGAATCACTTGAAAACGCAAACAAGTTTTGCTGCTCATGAACATCACACACTGAAGCTGATGGTCCTTCCCTTCCTTAACTGACTCCTTATGGCGTCTCTAGGAAACCCTGTCCTGGGCAGAAGGGTTACATCTGTCTCAGAGTTGAACTGTGGAGAAGCTGGAAAGCTAGAGATGAGCTACATGCTGGGAGATGGGAGGCAGATACCAAACAAATCCCAGCATCGCCTTTTCAGGACCTCATGCACTCACAGGCCTACTCCTGTGTTTTGCTGCCTAAGCAGACTGTAAAATGTCACTTGCACGATAAAGAGGCACTTCTCATTTTCCCCTTCCCACTGCTGAGCTGCTGTCCAGGGCAGGCTGGACAATGTGCACTGGAAGTACACTTAGTGAATGCATCCAGCCCACTGCAAACCTCTCCGAGATGCTCAAGGTCTGTACGCAGTGGCCCTGGGAGGTGATTTCCCAGTGCACGCTGCCTGCACACAGGAATGCCTGCCTGATTCCGTCCTGTATCCTGCCTTCCCGTCACCTTGCAGGAGCACGTATAGCTGCGATCAGACCTGTGCCACTCTGCACTCACAGAGGTGTACGCGTGCCACGCTGCACAGGCAGGGGGTGTGTGTGGGGGGGGGGGGGGGGTGAGCACACTCGCGCTGCCCGGGTGTCCCCTCCCGGTGGTGCAGGCACCCCGTGCAGCCGGGACCGCTGGGTGCCAGCAGGGGTGCGCTGACCCTGCAGTCCAACCGGCGGCACCGTGCCGTGCCTTTCCGTGCCGAGCAGAGCAGAGCAGAGCCGAGCCGGGGCGGGCCGGGGCGGGGCGGGGCGGTGGGAGGGGGCTGGCCGCGGGGCCGTATCGCGGCGGGGCGGCGGGCGCAGAGCACGGCAGGCAGCGCAGCGTACGGTATCGCACGGCACAGCACAGCACCGCACCGCACCGCACCGCTCCCTGCGCACCGGCGCTCCATGAGCCGCCGCCGCCGCGGGGGGGCTCGGCGCTGCGCTCGCTCCCCGCCGCCGGTGCCGGGATGTGACTTGCGGCGGGCTGGCGGACAGAGCTGCAACAGCCAGCAGGTGAGTGAGCGTGCGGGAGGACCGGCCCCCGGCCCCCGCTCGCGGGGCTGTCCCCGGGGCGTAGTGGAGCCCTCGCTCGACCCCGCTTCGTGCGCTGCCCGCGGAATTAGCCCGGTGGCCGCAAGCAGACAACAGGCTGGATGTGGGAGTCCGGGGGGGATTAGGCGGGATATAGGGTAGGGCGGGGGGTTTGGAGCAGGGGCTGCGCCCCGCAGAGGAGGGTACGGCAGACCGGCGAGGAGGGGAGAGGAGTTCGGAGACAGGATGGGGAAAGAGCAGGGACAGGCGGGGAAAGGAGAGACTGGGAAAAGAAACCCAGGAGGGAAAGGAGCGAAGGGACAAAAGAGAGGAGGCTGGAGCGGACTGCCCTCGCACGGGAGGAGGAGGAGGAGGAGGTTGCAGGCGGATTAAGGGGACACCGGCGAGGACGGGGCTGCCTGGCTCCGCACCCGCGCTCTTCTGAGCCCGAGGGTAGCCGCAGCCAAGCCCGGCACCGTGCCGCGGTTCAACAGCGGGCGCCCAAGGGCAGCGGGGCCGGGCCGAGGGCAGAGCCTCCCGGTGGCCCCTCGCCGACGCTGGTCGGTCCCGGGCCGGGGGCAGCGGGACACGCGGAAGGGCTGCGCAGCCCCAGCGGTTTTCTCTCCAGTCAATAAAAAGCCCTGCGTCTCTATTAGCGCTCCCCGAAGCCGGGCAGCGATAAGATTTAGCACTTAGGTGAACCCTTTGTTTATACCTGGCCTAATGTTTATCCCGAGGCTAACAGGATTTCCTGCGTGCTGAACCTAAACACCTCGGCTGGTTATCATCGCTCTAAGACTATCTACTGCTCGGTGATATGCATGCTACTTACCGGCAGTGAATGTTGGTGTTGAGGTGTTCTCTCACTGCATCAAAAGAAACCGGGTGAAGGAAATCCATCTGTCGTGAGGCTGTGACATGAACAGAAACAATCTGAGAATTAGCAAAGAAAAACATTGATTACTATCACTGATTGCTACCAGTAGTATAAAGAACATTAGGCATTATGGTCAGAGGTATCTGGGCACGGGTGATGTCCAGAATCTGATTTAAGAGCATTGTGAGCACCTAGAACATTAGAAAGATCATTTCATATTATATTCAGCATTGCAAAGTATTCGTAAGTTAAGGCAGTGCTTTTTGTACATGCCCTTTTGGAGTGGGGTCTTGCTTTCTGTGACCATGAGGCTGTACACAGCGTGATGTGTATTATTCTAATGCAGGGGATGTCTCAACCTCTGCTGTATTTTTGCATACAAAGCATAATTGCACTATTAATTATTATTCTGGAAGTACATCTCTTGAGTAGCCTGAGCTCAGCTTGGCGCTGCTGCTCTGTTATCAGTCCTGAAGCTCGTTCTTCAGATCTGATCAAAAGGATCTGGCAGAGATCCCATGCTGTGATTAATTCCTCCTCACTAGTGGTTCTCCACAACACTTCGTGGTGGGGGTGGTTTTCTGTCACAAATTGTACAGTGAACCAGTCTTCTGCCTGAGTGTGGCAGAGCAGGTTACTATTTGTGCTACTATCACTCTTATTTACTAGGCTGTTATTCTTCTCAGTGCTTGGAGGCATCTTCCTGTATCAGTTGATTAACATGAAGACTCAAAAAAGGGGAACAAATAATACATCTAACCATGAATAGCCTAACCTCAAATCTTTGCATGATTACAGGTTTATTCTTTCTATATATTCTTGAACAGCATCTTTTTTACCAGATGATATTTGCAGTCAGAAGACTTTGACTAGTGAAAGCCTCATTGATTTTTAACCATGCCAACTTTTTGATGACAGCTGTGAGATTTTTCTGTTTGTGCTTAGTTGCTTGTAATTGTACTTTAAACCCGCTGGGGCAGCTTTGTGCCTGCAATTTCTGTAGTGATTCTACACCAGGTAATGTAGAGGACTTCACTCTGTTGAAAACAAATGTGAATCAAAAATTGAGGACTGGATTTGGAAGCTGTCCTGCAAATTGTTTGCTGCTTTTGCCTGGAATGTGTGAGGCTTATTGGTTCATTTGATGTGCTTGTGATTGGTCTGGGTTTGGGTATATTGGCTGAATAGTTCTTATGAAATATAATTTTGGGGATGGATTTTGGGGAAACAAAAATAAATCTCAAGCTGATTTCCTCCTGTATGAACAGTTCCATTCAGCTACGTGGGGATGTATCAATGTCGCTTACTGTACCTGTGCTAGAAATCTGTGACATTGCTGTGTTACTGTTGCTGTAGCTGTCTGGTAATAGAAGTGAAGCGTCAGTCTAATAGAGTGGTGTTGTTACTACCGTCAGGTTGCATAACATTGCAGAGCTAATCTAGATATAGAGGTAAAAATACTACTCCTCTACAGTTGCTGATTTAGGTAACTATTGGTGGTAGTGTGCAGACAGAGGATTTTGCTACAGAATCTTGAGCCACACAGGACTCTGCAAATCTACCACAGCACCAACTTGAGGAAGACACTATTTTAATAAAAACCTCATATTAAAGTATTTTTCCAAAATGACTTTTCTGGCAAAAAGACTTTCTATTTCCCCCTTAAATTACTGAATCTGTGGCTTCAGCTGAAGTAGTGGTATTCCCTTGCTAAACTTTCATGTTGTAATGTAGTGTTTTTCCCTTGTTTATACAACTGTCTGAGTCAATGCTGAGTACCAGCGCTAGACAGAGGATTTGGGCTAGTATCGTCGCAGGGGTTTGGTTATTAACACTGCCAGTCTTTACCTAATCAGGCAGAAATAAACAGTAAACAGGTTGTAAATATGGCTGTTGATAGCAATGGTGAGGGAAGGATTCCTCATTTGGAGGTTTTTAGGCTTGCAAGCTTTGGTGTGGATAGGATCTAGAGTTTAGCAAGACTTACTTGTTAGGAATACGATTTCAGGCCAAGAATACCTGGCAGTATAAGGAAGTATAAGTTAGCAGTCCTAAGGACTTCTTGGTCAGTACTACAACGAACTAGGAGCTTTCTAAAAGAGTCACTGTTTATTCCATCAGTTCTCCCAAAAGTAATTTCACAAATGGAAGTAACTTGGGAAAACTCTTGAGTTGAACGTCTCTGTGTTTCTGAACATATATTTTGAATTCTCAGTATATTTTGTCACAGATTAATTCCCCCTTTCCAAAAGAAACTACTTCTTTGTGGCAGGGGAAATACTAAAATTCATTAACCCTCCCTCCCCCTCTCCCAAACACTTCCAAATAGGAAGAGGAAACAAATGACGGGCTGACAATATGACTGCTTACCCATGCAGCACCATCTCCATGGAAACAGACTGTCCTAGAATAGCTCAATCACATGAGGGTTACATGACATGAATAAAGTAACCAGAAAACTGGAAAATATCTTAGAACTGGACATACTTCCACTTAATTCATTACCCTGCAGGTCTTTGGAGGATAGCTAATAAACAAAGCTAGTATTGAAACTGATTTAGTGCATGCATATCATAGTTTGTAAGTGATAGGATAGTGGAAAATTAACATAATCCTCACTTAAGGGCTGTTTATTGTTTCAAGTTTGGGGCAGCATTTAGAATGAATTTTGAGTGATTTTCCCCATGATCCCGTCTTGAAATTGGTACCAGTGGTTCACAGCATTGCCTTAGTAGGTCCTGGTGGATTTCCTCTCTTTGTGTCAGCAGGCACTTACCATTTCATGCTTTCTGGGACATTTTGGGTATTTTAAAGAGTGAATGCACTAGTTGGAGCAGGAACTGCCTGCACACAGAAGGAATCGTAAAATCGCCTTCAGAATGTTTCCTTCTAGTTAATTATGTACTCGCAGGGCAAGGAGATTTATTGAGTGTAACCATACTCAATACCAAAATGAATACATTTCACTGATGATTAGTTTTCTGTCTGTAAAGTCAGTATTTTTAACATGAGTGTTGTGACGGAGTCATTGAGAAACCTTGTTATACATACGAGATACAAACAAGTAAATATTCTACCAATTCCCCATAAAAAAAAATAACAGCTAGGTAGGAAAAAAAAAATCATTAGTCATTAGCTGCAGGTCATTGCATCATTAGAACACTGCGGCTCTTTCCACAGTGCAAGGATACTGTAATTTCTATGGGCAGGCACAGATCATCAATTACCCTTTTCCTGTTTGTCTTATCCCAAATTACGTTATTTGTTACAGTTTCTGCTTCTGAGATGAAGTATTTGTTAATACAGTTTTTTGTCTGCTATATGAATGAAAACCATAAAGTCATTATGCATTTGTATTAGTGCATTTGCTGTCTTGGTGTCTCTAATAGGAAACTGTAATTTGCATCATACATATCCTGTAAGCCAAACTAGCCATTGGTCATTGTACTGTGAAAGGGGAATAAACATCTGTTTGAAGATTGGGATCCCCAAAATGTGACTTTAGTCATTACAGAACTGTAATGCACAGGAAGAAAACCTCTAGTTCAGAGCTGCAAGAGACTCTCTAAAGTTTCGGCTAGTCTACATAAACAGGTTTTGTGTTGGTTATGAATGATGGTGTTTAACACAACAACATGGCATTGTTCCTTTAAACCACTTCCAATTCTCATTAAGTTTTTGACATTTTCATTAAATACATTTCTCACTTCTGAAACATCTTTAGATATGCAATCACTTAGGGCTGTTTGTCTAACTTACAAAAGAGGTACCAACAGTTTCTCTGCTTCTCGCTCTGTATCTCAAACACATCACATGAGCCCCTGACTAACATTACTGCTAGTTCATATGGTGCTTTTCTTCTGCATGGTCATACCATGCATATGGAAGTTAAACTCTGAACATTTTCACCTAGGCATGTTGCTCACATCAATGCACATAATCCTGCTGGAACCTGCAGCACTAACTGTGCAAGTGAAGGTTAACAGCGTCAGGTTTCATGTCTGGTGCACGAGTGGTTACTTCAGACTGCCCTTATAGGGCAGCTATTGCTGGGACAGATTGCTCGTGTAAAGGTTACATTTTTAATAGTCTCCTTTGCCATGCTTTGCCTCATAAAAACAAGTGCCATAACATATATCCTTTTAAAGCACGTAAGCCATGTTCTTCCCAAAACTAAGTTGGGATTCATCCAGGCTTTTGGTCTTCGTGGTTGAGTGGGATACGTTGTGTTCCTAGAGAGTTCACCATTGTTTGCTCTCTGGATCAGGGAAGGCGATGCTCTGTTTTTTGTTGTTTGTTTCCTTTGAATGGCTTTAGATGTGCTAAGAAGCACAATGAGTCATTCATTTTTGATTACTTGATTGATGACACTGCATGCGTGCACCATTGTCACAGAAGATGGGATTTCTCTAGCCAACCATTCCCATTTGCAAATGCAATCTAATACCTGGGCTTTGGAAGAGGATGAAAGGAGTGAATACTGTAACTACCTATTGACTGAGCATGAAAACAAGAATTTCCTTTATCAAAAAAGCACAAGGTTTATTTTCCTGCAACTACTCTATCCTTAAAAAAATAAAAAATAATGATTTCACTTGGCCTTTATTCCAGTGAAAGGAGCACGGCTGTGAGTGAAACTGTCTAATTCTGATACAACTTATGCTTGCACCAGGCCCAGTGCAATTTACACAAGCTTTAAGCACCTGACTTTGAGCAATAAGGTACTCTAGATAATATATTATTTTGCAACAGAATACAGAATTTCCTCTGGTTGTCTTTTAGGATATTAGCAGGGGCAGTGTTTGGAAGTATTGTTTTCAATCAGTGCAAACACAGTAATGACTCAGTTGGCATTCAGAGCACAACAGGCAAAAGCAGCTTTCTGGGAGGGCAGCAAAGGGGACCTGGGGTAGGCTATTGCCAGCTGCAAAAACCCAGTAAACACAGGCTATTGAGACAAGCTGTGCTTCCAATTGCTGTGAAATCCTCCAAAATGAACTGTAGCTAAGTGAACAAATATTTTGTTGTCTCAGACAGAAAAATGAAAACCTACCGAGCCATTGGGTTCTTCCTCCTCTTCGTGATCAGCTATGGCTCTTCTGAAAACTCAAGTACGTCTCGAGGATGTGGACTGGATCTTCTCCCTCAGTATGTTTACCTGTGTGACCTGGATGCCATCTGGGGAATAGTGGTGGAGGCAGTTGCAGGGGCAGGTGTGCTGACCACGCTACTGCTGATGCTGATTTTGCTGGTGAGGCTACCCTTCATCAAGGACAAAGAGAAGAAGAGCCCCCTGGGAATGCACTTCCTCTTTCTTTTTGGGACTCTAGGACTGTTTGGGCTGACGTTTGCTTTCATCATACAAGAAGATGAAATGGTTTGCTCTACCCGAAGATTTCTGTGGGGAGTTATCTTTGCTTTGTGCTTCTCATGCTTGCTAGCTCAAGCCTGGAGACTTCGTAGACTAGTTCGCCATGGGAAGAGTCCATCTGGCTGGCATCTAGCTGGTGTGGCAATCTGCCTGATGCTCGTTCAGGTTATTATTGCAACTGAGTGGTTAATACTGACAGTTGTCAGAGATAACAAGTTGGCCTGCAGCTACGAACCAATGGATTTTGCTATGGCTTTGATTTACGTTATGTTCCTGATGGTATTTACCATGGGATTTTCTCTTTTCACTCTCTGTGGGAAGTTTAAGAAATGGAAGAAAAACGGAGTATGCCTCATTATAACACTTTTTTTTTCCATTCTGATTTGGGTAGCCTGGATGACTATGTACCTCTTTGGTAATGCTGAGCTAAAGAGAAGAGACAAATGGAGTGATCCCACTCTTGCTATTGCACTGGTGTCCAGTGGTTGGGTGTTTGTTATTTTTCACGCCATCCCAGAGGTTCACTGTACCATCCTTCCATCACAGCAGGAAAACACTCCCAATTATTTTGATACTTCGCAGCCAAGGATGCGTGAAACTGCTTTTGAGGAAGATATACAGCTTCCTCGGAGCTACATGGAAAATAAAGCCTTTTCAATGGATGAACATAATGCAGGTAAGAATTTACTATAGAGGACTGTATCTTTCTATAGTAGCCAAGAAAATGAGGGGGAAGCAATAGAGAAAATACTTATGTTTGGTTAAAACGATTCTTCTGCATGTTGTTTTTCATTAAAAAACTGAACAATTTCAAATGCAAAGCCAAAACTGAAAGCCTATAAAAATCCACTGTGGGGAAAAAAATGGCCTCTATTTTAAAAACATTTAAATAATATTTGTTGTCATTATTAGTTAACAACATTTAATATGAAATAGTTTCCAAAACCCCAAGAAAATAATGAAGTGTTCTGTTACAAAATGCTCAGCCTCTCGAGCAACAAAGTAATTATTATTTATCATATTTCCATTAAAATGGGATTTAGTGCCACTTTGTGACACTTTGGGGGGTAAAAAACACAGAGTGGCATAGAGACAAGTTCAAATACAGTCTTTATTCTTAATGTCTGAGCAGAATATGCACAGATAGAGGTTTTGAGGTAGTCATTGCTTTCCTTGTCATGCTGTTTGGTGACATAGAACCATGTTTGATGACCCATTGTTACAATTTGCAATGATAGTGGTTTTGAGTGGTTGATGGAAAGGCTAGCAACAACTGGTTGCTTAAGAAATCCAAACCACTGCTGAATGCTTAACCCATGTGAGAAAATACACAGGGATGCTGATGTGAGCAGTGAAGGGAAGCACGAGCCAAACAGTCTTCTGTAGTGCAGGGTGCAGTCTGGTGCTGTCCTACACTTGGATAAAGGATTTTGTTACTAGTCACAATGCTTTTTATTCAATGTAATTGAGAAATGTGGTATCACAGCAATGTTCCCACATTGCTTTGGCAGCCCCCATGAGGCACATTATCCAGGCACTTCACCTTCCTATTCATTTTTACGTATCTTTTATTTCCTCTGAGTTTGAAGTTTCCTCTGGATATAGACCAGATGTGGAGGAAAACAGCACACTTGTCTGGCACGATGTCAGGTCAGGAGGGCGTTTTTCCTCTAAGTAGTTTAGCAGGAACTTTAAAGGTCTCCTCTTAGTACAGAAGCTTTGAACAGAAAGGAGTTAAATTCTGTGAGTATATTGCAAGGGCAGTGGTAAAACAAGTGAAAAATCACATGGATAAAAGAATGGTTGTTTATTCCAAATGTTCCAGAGCCACAGAGGCAGCTTCATGACAAAAAAGCACTCTTTTTTTTTTCCTTTGGGGTTTTTTGTTTGGTTTTTATTTTTTAGTGTTCTCTATTCCCCATCACATTAATGTCACAGTAAGGTAACTGCAGTGGCTTCAGTGGAGCTATTTCTGACTAAAGCATATCTAAGAACAAAACCAGATCTTCCACTCTGTATTATTCCCATTCATGCATGGACTTTAAGAAACAGCTGGAAGCTCCTTTTTAATCTGATCATTCAGTGATTAAGTCTTTTAATGAGATGAATAGATGCAAGATATCTATAAAATCATTATCATGTCTATTATAGTGCAATTTATGTTCTCTTTTAATCTATCTGAATCTTACATAGTACAATACTAAATAGATTTTTCTTATCTGATGCCATTATGAATATTTTCATAACAAATGCATTCCTATTCCTATGGCATGTGTGATAAGGATACATACATTTTTAATAAATCAAAACAGATTCATTATTCCTGAAGTGATTCTTCAAGTACAGACTTACAACGACAGGGTTTGGAGTGAAAACTTTCTAGTATGGTAGAGACTTAAAGTAAACACAGGTAGTAATATTCCAGTCATGTAGTATGGCTGTGAAGTGTTAAAGTCAGATTACTATACTGATGGGTGTCAGTGGCTAAGCAACTGGAATCTATTAGCAATTGTCTCTCTGCAGGTATGTAGAGAATGTTCTCTTCTTTTTTCATTTAATTAACCTCCATTAAAGAATTCATCATTAAGAGCTTAGAAATGAAAGGAAGGGTACTTGATTCAATTATACTGAAGAATGATGTTTAAGAATGGAAGATCTACTAGTTGCAAAATTGTGGTAGACATGATAACCAGAAAACACCTCTTGGTTCCCTGACTAATATTTGTTTCCAGAAGTAGTTAGGTTCCAACAGAAAACATGCTTGAATAAACATATTTATAATTCTTATTATTCCATTAATACTTGCATAAAGAAGTTTAGTAGTTTTGCTCCCTTTTTTCTTTCTTAAAGAAAAAAAAATACTTTAAGCAGCATTTTAAGAATCTGAACAAACTTTGAACTGTGGTTCAAACAAGCATATGTTCTCCTAGTCTCTTTCTTAGCTCCAAATTATACATAACAACAAGAGCTGCTATATTCCAGCAATATCATTAAGCATTTATAAAGCATTAAAAAACTATTTTAAAGTCAGTTATTTAAACATCGTTTCAACAACACATGGCCTGGGATTTTAATATTCATGATAGAGAAGTTGAAATATCTAATTAAAAGAGTTATTTTCATACCAGTGTCTTGTAAAAGTGTTAGTCAAGTATTTAGAAACCCTGGAAAAAAGCAACTAAAAGTGCAATACACCAGAAACAAACATCAATAGGACAGCTTTTGTAAGGCAAAGAGAATTTGCCTTATGTATGACAAATCTGGACGTGCAATGCAGAATGCTACAGCTGTCAGGAAACCCAAGCTGGAGCAGCTCTGGTACTCACTGAATTTCATTTAATGACTTCTAGCACTACAAGTCACGCTTGGAGCCAATGCCTAAACCCAAAGTTAACAAAATATATGTGTTAAAAGGAAACTTTGACATGACACTTGCTCAGAGCTTCTTGGCGCTATATTTTCTTCTTACCTATACGTGCTCTATGTAAGTAGATGCATTCAATAGTAATGGGAAAAGTACAAGGAAAAATGGTAAAACTGGTATGAGGAAAAAAATCCACAGTGAGTATTTTGTCCATAAGCTTTGTCTCCGATTCTGATGTTTAAAAGAATTTTAGACTTATTGCAGGAATAGGGGAAGGAAAATTTAGCAATATGGAATTGCATTTACTGGCTTTTTAACTCTGAAATGACCATGGAAATTTTGTGTAAATATTTTAATGATGGTATGCATTACAAAGAGAGGGGTTTTTTTAATGTGTGCTACCAAATACCAGTGCAACCATTTGTGTTTAATGCACAATATGAAGCCAAACTGCAAAGAAAGACTACTACTGACCCCAAGATGGTTAAATGTAAAATAAAAAATAATAATTCTAATTTAGGCATTTCCATCCATTATTCTCCCAGTGTTTTGCAACAATATCTAATTTCAAACTGTAGAGCCAGTGAGGGTCTGTCCGCATCTGAAGTGAACAACTGAGCCTTTGCACGGCTGGATTTCTACATTTCTGTCCCAAATCAATAGCGTTGCTCATCTCAGTGCACAACCCCCAAAGAGAGGACTGGCAGTGGATAGATAACAACATATGGCAGCAGGATCCATTTAAATCTTGTTCCACAGAGTGCAACTATATTAAATCCTGGCTTCATTAAACCCTGTATTGAAATTCTTGTAAACTTCAGCTCATTCATGATTTCAACCAGAGTGTAGAACTGCAATTTTAATTAAATGTAAGAGAAATTCTTGCCCCAGGTGCCTGAACTAGGGGTGTTTCTGTTTACCAGCTCACAGATGAGTATTGCCCATTGTAACCACACAAGTCACATGGATAAGTGAGCTCTGTTCCCTGGCCACATCTGAGTTCAGTGAAGCCATTATTTACCCTGAAGTAAAAAGAGAGTTTGTATGTGCTAATCCATGGACTGATTTAGAGAGAAAGAAGCACATCCCTAGCTATGCATCTCTCTCATTCAGAATCTACATCTTGAATCCAAACTTGAGCTCAAAAGTGGAGAGGCTCGTGTATTTCTGGTATAAGCATTCAGAAGGACAATCAGTATCTTCCCTTTTGCTTCAGTCCTTCACCATGTTTAAGCTATTCAAAAGCGATATTTACTTCATGTTTCTAGTTTTTCAGAGTAAATATAATCTGAAACATCTGGAAAATCCTTATATGCTAGTCATGCTGAAGTAATGCTCAGGGGGGTTGCGAGCATGCTAACTGGCTCGAGCAATGTTTTGGATCCCTGTCCTCTGAATTTGATAGAAAGCAAAATGCAAGATCATTTTACTTTAACCCCACAGTATCCAGACCAGTACAGTAAGTGCTTTGTAAAATACACTGTGCAAGATACATCAAAGGTTTCGTACTTGAAGACATTTAACTCCTATTGAAATGAGATGAAGCAAACTTCAACAGTTTGCTTCCAATAAACTTTTTCCAATTCTACAACAAACAGTTAAGTTTATGTAAAACTGATTCTTCTGAGATCTGTCCCCAGCAATGTAAGAAAAACAGCTGTTGAAAAGCAGTGTGAAAACCGGTATAGCACATAAGTTAAAATTGGTGGCAGAGTTTCCAATCGACTAACCTGGAAGCAAGACACTTAATGATTTCAGAGGCAATGCACAGCGTTAACTGTATTCCTAAGAACTATCTCTTTTTTTTTCTAAACAGCACTAAGAACAGCAGGATTTCGAAACGGCAGTTTGGGAAGCCGACCTAGTGCTCCTTTTAGAAGCAATGTTTATCAGCCAACTGAGATGGCAGTTGTGCTAAATGGTGGGACTGTAAGTATCAAAAATATGATGATTTAAGAAATCTTTGATACGCACTGACATATACAACCACTGCTAACTAAAAACCTGCTTTAAGCTTATTCATGGCAGGGGGGAAAGCTTCATGTGAAAACTCTGGCAGCAAGTATGCATGTAATGCTTCCCTTCCCTCTAGAAAAGATGTAATTACAAAGTATTTTGCATTTCTTTACTTGGCCATTCACATTTTGCAGTGTAGCTTGAGTGAACCAAGTTCTTTGAGACTATATGTTCAATAGGCCTTTCAAATTAAACCTCTGTTAAGGTATTTAACATAACTATTAAGTGACACAATTTCTAACCTGTTTTTTTTTCTCAAGATGATGTGAGTCACACAGATGTTTACAGGCCAGTACATTACTTTAAGTAAGAATCACTGTTGCAGATAGTGCTGGTTTTTCACCTATCTTCCATTTTCTTGTAAAATATATGTAATTCTTTGTAAGTAAGTTACAGAGGTGTATGTCTCTGGAAAAGGGATTAATAAAAGACGAACAGAACATTTTAATGTTAATAGCATTGATTTTCCTTTCTTAGACAATAGTTTGGCATGCCATTCTTTGATAGACCTGTTTTTCTGTAGCCTGGTGGTTGTAAGAATGGCTTAGTGTTCTGATGCCAAACAGACTTTCTAAATGTTTTTCCCATGATGTGTAATTTATACTTGCAGACATTTCATATAACGGACATACTGTTGAAAAAGAAGAATTTTCATCCCCATATTTTTCATGCATACCTACATGCTTCTTAAAAATCTACCCATGAGCCAGTTTATACTCATATGAATTGGGTTTGCTTTATTTTGAATCATGAGCTGATTCCATAACTCAGTCTCTATGCCTCTATGTTTCAAACCAAATGATGTGAACTGATTGCAGGTCTCTTTTGGCTGATTTTAGTGAACAAGAGGGACTAGATAGAAGGATTCTCCTGTAAGACAGGGGGAAACCTATCAACTTAAATAAAATGAAAAGACTTGTGTTTTGCTGTCAGTAATAAATAGTATCCTCCTGATGCTTGGATTCATCTATGCCTATGTTTTCTGATACTAGACTATGCAGCTCAGGGAAAAGGCTGAGAAGCTGGAGAATTTCTTTTGGAGTGGGTTTTTTGTTTGTTTTGCGGTGGACACAAAGATTAATGGAGGTAGTAAAATGACAGATTAATGTGTGCATATAGTCATGGTTTTTCCAGAGACGTGAATGCTCTGTATGGGTGTAAGATGAGTTTGTGTCCCTTTGCTGTGGAACCGCAGTCTGGAAAGCTGTCATATACATGTAGCATGATAACACTGATTTTTGAACAGACTAGATCTCTCAGTTATGGGTTTATTATCCTTATTTCCAGATACCAACTGCTCCGCCAAGTTACACTGGACGACACCTCTGGTGAAAGGCTGTAGGCTGTAGAGAGTAAGAATCCTTATTGCAGATGTTGTTCCCTGGCAATGTGTCTTTGAGGGAGGAATCCATAACAGTACCAGAACAAAGCAACAAACCATCCAGGATCTTTCGAAATCCTACAGAGGATTTTGTCTAAATGTGAACACCATTGAACTAATAAGATAACTGCAAAAACAAAGTTGGAAAACTGAAGCTGAGTCTAATTTAAAATAGCAGTAGGCACACCTGAAATTGGAAGAGAGGGATATTGCATTCTGAAATGTATGATATTCTCTTGTCCGCAACTAGTGTGTGAGGCAAGCCTGCTTTTGCTGGTTGCCAGTTGCTTGCAAGATACCCTCCTCTCACCTAAACTTAGGTCATGTTGCCACAAGAGATTGCCACTACAGCATGAAAACATGCCAGATTTCTTTCCATTTTGCTCCTTTTCCCTTCATTTCAAATGACATGAGAAGTATCTTGTTTGCTTCATTATCTAGCTGTACTGTACAGTCACGTAGCATCATGTGTGTGGATAAGCATTGTCACTCTGTGGCAACTAAATTACCATTACACTGTAGGCTGATACTCTTTAAAAAGCTGGTGTAGGAAATGCAGTTCTGGAGGGATGAAAGGTCTATGTATGTTTCAAGCAAGTTATGGAGCTTCTTGAGGCAGAGAGAAAAAGCATAGGTCTAGCACAGAGGCAGCTCTCCTTGACCACAAGGGACAGATTCCCAGTTGTTCCAGCCTCAACCCTGGGTGCAAGGAAAGAGTCGCACACTCTCATGTCTCCTACAGACGAAGCCATGAAGCGTAACTATGGAAGGATGTACTCTTGCAAAGACTTAGCTGAGGACAGAATGTGTGGCTTGAGTTTTCCAGGAGTTCATTGTGATGGTGGATTAAGGGCAACCCACTCTACTGCCCAAGCAAGCCTGTTCTGGGTGTTGATGGTACCAAGCAGGACACCAGTGGCAGCTAAGAAGCACTGACCACCTTTCAGGAGAAACTCAGCAGCAGATAGGGTCAAGACCTTCCTTTCTAATCCCTGTTCGTACGAGTAGTCCCCTTGACTGCAGCTGTTTGTGCATTTCAATGTGGTTGTGCATTTTAGTGCCTAGCTAATAGAATCTCCGTGCTGGAGGTGGTTTGTTGTTGTTTTTGTTTTTTTTTTTTAAGATGGTTTCTTCCCTACTCCTCCTTCCCTCCACCTTTCTGGGTTGATAGAAGGCAGACTTTCTCAAAGCTTTTTATCTTTGCTTTTTTCCAGGTTATTTAAAAGGTTCCCATTGCCCATTGTTTGTGCCATGGTTTTCATTATGTTTAAGCAATCATTCCTTTATTTAACATCTAATGCATATCGGACATTAAAAACATCGTTGTATCCTCACTGTTTGGCCAATGTTAACCCTAGCTTTCCTTGATACTAAAAGCTAATTGTTTTTACTTGAGGGCATAGGAAACATATAACAATTAAACTTTGCATATGCTGTAATAAAAATATATATTTTCAAACTAAAAAAATGTAATGTACAAATAACTGAATAACTTGGTAGCTTCACAGACAGAAGTTACTTGCTGTATACTGCAAAAGAAAGACAAGCTTTTTATTTTTCAAGCGTCTTCCTGATTCTTCATGTACCTCCATTCCTACTGAATTAGGAACCTAGTCCTGCAGACTTGTACTCCCACCAGTAGTCCCATCAACACCAGTAGGTCTACATACAGGTATGGAGGCTGCAAGACCAGTCCCTAAGTGTTGCACACAGATATAGATGTATATATATATAGAGAGAAAAAAATATATATTGCCATTCTTGCCATGATCATCTTATGGTGTTTTATTTCAAAGCCCTTCTGTTCCAGAAGCAAAGTTTTTCTGTCATGCATGAGTAAAGGAGTATGTTAACTCCCCCCTGCCCTTCTCGCCTCGAGGCAAAGGAAGCATGTGCTTGGTTTTGGGATTGCTTATTTTATTTTGTAAGTAACTAGATGGCCTTAGCAACCAAGTAGGGTAGGGGTGGATATTGCATGCTATCCAGTGACTTAGAAATACATTTTGCTTGCCTTAAGCAAAACTTTGATCAAATAAGATAGTATTTAAAATAATAAGTTACCCAGAAGATGCATCATTTGGAACAACAAAAAATCTATTACCATCAATTGCCTGCAGAAATTTGCTTTTAGAAAACAAATACCCCCCCCCCAACAGGCTCATAAAACTGGTAAAAACATATGAGATGACCATGGCATAAATGGTAGGACAGCTTTCTCTTCAAAAGTTTATCATGCTACAACCAAGATTAATGAATTACAATGCACATTTTACAGACCTTGGACAAAATTGTACAACATATATTTATCTTAAACTTTTTTTTATTTTCCTAGATGTGACTGAATTGATAGAGTTCCCAGTCCTGCTCTAACAAAGTTGTTTGGCATTTGAGGCCTATACAAAGATACTGCCAGATCCTACAAGCTCCCATGGCTAGTCTCATTGGGTTAGTCATGGGGATTGTTCATAAAATTAAAAGCAGGATTGGGTTTAATTTGTGGTGGTGAAGGTGTGGCAATAGATTAGGAGGGTCTTTATTTTCCAATTTCATGCAATTAGTAATAAGCAACTTCTTTTGTAAGTCACTAGTCTGTGATGTAAAAATGCCCCAAATAAAACTGTAATTGAAGAAAGGCACCTTCATGTTAACTTGTATTTTTGTTACAGTATTTACTTTTGCCTTTTATGAAAGTTGCCTAGAATGTAGAGCATCTGTGAACAACATAATAAGTAAGCACAAGCCTTTCACAGTTCAGTTAATTATAATTAGCTTTTATACTATAAAAGCTACTATGTTCTCCCTTGATGGTTATGTGCTCATGATACTCCCATGCAGGAAAATAAAACCATAAAACATCTGATAAAACTATTACTACCAATACAAGATTTGTAACAACTGGGTTTTGATCAGTGGCTACAAAAAAGGTCAAAGCTGTATTTTAGAGATCCTGTCTGCTTTCAGATGAGTTGAGGGAGTTTGACACTTGCCAGAAAATATGTAGTATTTTAAAAAGAAGACTCTCAATACATACAGTTGTTTATAGTAACAGGGTACACGAACTACTATAGAATTAGATGTTTCTGGTTTTAGTCTAAACGCAGGCATCTTGGTTGGCTTTGTTAAAGCTTGATGCCCTGGGTTCTAACCAAAGGCCATGCAAAAGGGAGCATTGTAGCTTTTATAATAAAACAATTGGACTATTCTACCAATTTACAGGATTACGAAGCAGGTGCTTTTTATTAATTGATGAGAGCTGAAGCTCATTTTTGATAGATAATATATATTTATTAAATGTATTAATGTGTGTTTTATAACGTACCCTTTTTTTCCGCTGATTGTTGCATACTGGTATCTTATTAAGTACATCTTTAAAGGATTTTCAAGACAATCAATGTGTAACATGATGACTGTACATAAGCATACAAGACCACAAAGGTTGTAAGGCATGGGCAAATGTTTTATTTTCAAAATGCTGTTCTTAACGAGAATAAAGGCTTTACTATTTACTTACAATGCTTGTGTGAACTTGGTGCTAAAATCTACCTAAAATGTTTGTATTACAGTAAACTAATGGTGCTACAGACAGCACCATCCTTTGTGTGCTACTGTGAGTGCAATTCTGCAATATAAGCTAAGTTAAACTGAAGGAAATTGGCTCTCAGAGGCTAGAGCCACATTCCTCCACCTCTGGCCACATTCCCATACTTATCCTTAGCTCTGGCACCTATCAGATCCACAGTGAGCCAGTCAAGGAGCTGAGCAGCCAAACTCTTAACACGAGCAGGGATTTTTTTTCTTCTCAGTTGGCTCAGCAGTTTCCTGTACTGGCTCAATTGCTAGTGCTTGTGAAAAGGAGGGGAGAAGATCATACAGCTGGGGTTGAAGAATGCAGGTTGAGAGTTTTTCTTAAATGGTTTGATTTTCCTGATCTGGTGCAACAACCAGCACCACCAACCAGGAAAATAATGAGGGCAGGTACTGACATACCACTGAAGACAAGGTCCACGTAAGTGATGGAAGAAATCCATGTTGAACCACAGAAACAGCTAGGGGCTACCCATAATTTATCATCCTTTCATTATAAACAACCAGACCTTTGATTGCCTTGCGTGGAATTAGTAGTAGAGCTTGCAACTATCTTCTCTAATTATGAAATTAGAAAGGCCTAAATAGGTCTCTGCTCAACAAGACTAAGTTAAAAAAAAACAGTGAAGACTCCTTAGCCCCAACCTGATCTTTATTCTGCTTGCACTTTATGTAAGTATGTACGCATAAACAAGATCACTGAAAATGCTCTCACTGTAATCTTAATTTTACACTTTCTCAGCACATGTGCTAAGTGATAACAAAAGGGCCTTTGACTTTTCTCCCCTGCAGAAATGCAGAGCAACCCTCACTAATTGCTATCAGTTGGAATTAGAGTGGCACAGCCTTCTTGAAGTTAGATGGTTAGGAACAGAGCCTGGATTTGTGTAAACTGTCACAGCTCTACAGAAGACAGTGAAGCGACTTTGTTTATACTAAACGAAGAATTTTGCCTTAGTTTTAAAACTTGCCTGCATGTGCGTGTAACCCCATTTGTTGCATCTTTTGTCCTTATCAGAAAAGCTTGCACAAAAGCATTCAGAAACACAGACTCAATATTTTTGGCTAAATGTGCACAGTTCCATCTGGTTTAACAGAATTGTGCTCGTTTTGACTAGGGCTGAATTTTGTCTTGGCATGCTCAGTCCTTATATAATCACCCTTTGATTTATAACACCTCACATGTAGAAGTAAAACTGTAATGCTAAGAGCCTTTCTAAATCAGTATCACAAAGTTGAGCCCATGAGCTTTCTGTTTTGTGATATTTGTGAGAAAACTAAAATTGAGATGTTGAATCACTTTGTGTATGGTCTCCTAAGCCTTCCAATTTGCTTCCCACTGCAACCACATAAAATAAAACATTACTTAACTTTCCAAAACAGCCACAGAAACAAAAAAAGCAAACATCCATACATCCACAGCAAACACTGCTGTTCAATAAATAATAGTAATGAAAAACCCACCCAACCCAACAGACCTGTTTCTTCTGTACATGGCATTTTTTGACACAGCTTCAGCACTCAGATACTTGCACAGCGTTCTCAGTGCCGTCTGTGGGAGTCGTGCATGTGTAGCCAAGGGCAGAGTTGTTTGCTAATAAGAAGTTACTGGATTGTAAAAAAAATTAGTGAAAGAAGCTCTTTGAGGTTTTCACTTTGAAGAATTTTCAATTAGAAGTCAGCACTGAAGTCATACAGTTTACCTAGTATATAAATATATTTTTGTCATTTAGGACAACAAGCAAGGTCAATAAAGAATAGTTTTTCTATGTCTCAGTGGAAAGAAGAATGTTATCCATGTGATTGCAAAGGATCTGCCAAATGGGAAAAACCAGTCAAACAAAGAGCACAGGGTTGCTCTCTGGAATAAACAATTCTAAATGAACAAAAGCTCTACATAAAAGTAGAATGTCCCACCCCCTACTGAAAGCTGTTTTCAAAGCTCTGTATTCTTTCAGAATGCTGTAATACAGATCAACCTAATGTTTTTCTTCTGCTGATACAACAGTCTGATTCCTCAGTCTACTTCTGAGATTTCAGCTGTCATATTCTGTTCTTAATATTTTTGTATTTTACAAACTGCCTTTTAACTTATAAAGGTAAAAATCTGTTTTTCTACTCCCTACACTTCAGAAAATGCATCTGTACCATCCACCTTTTACATCAAGCAATTTATATATATAAGTTATGCTAGAGACAAAGGAGGCCAAATAAGCCCCAAAAAATCCCCTTTTGGCTGTACAGTTTCAGAAGAGCTTACCTACCGTTCCAAGGCATGCAACTGAAACCCAGCAAACTCAGTCCTCTTGGTACGTGCATGGAGTACTGGGATGCAACAGACCCACGTGCTAATTTAAGGTGCTCAATGTGCTACCGACCTGGAAGACCCCAGCTCATTGAAAACACAGGAAAAGCAATGTATGAGGAACACAGACAATACCTTAGAAACCCAAAATATGACTGCAGTGACAGGATATTCCCTATGTTCTACAATGGTCAAGGCAGTACCTGTCCAGTGCCTTGCTGGCACAAGACCCTTCTTGATTTTAGGGCTTTTGTCTGTACAGCTGGTGAGGAGAAAAGTCAGAGTGGGTTAAATAACCCATATGACTATGAACATCCCATGTACAAAGTACTAACTATTGCATTGGATTTTATCTAATACCCCTTGATGTGATGAGGCTGGCCTTTGCAAAGATTCCATAAAAACTGCAACAAGTTCAAAACTCCCAAAGCTCACACATTGTTCCACATTAAAATGAGCAAGTTTTAGGTAGTTGCTAGCAGTTCTTTTAGTCAGGAGTGCTCATGTCTTACCATAACCTGTGTTATTTAAGCATAACAATTTCAAATCACATCACACTAACCAGGAAGCACAGGTTGTCAGCATGAATCTGGAATTCAGGCAGTTATTGAAATAGTTTTTGACGTAACCTTGCTTCCTATGCAGATAGAAAAGTAAGATGTCCTCAGGATTCAGCTAAGCTGGAAAGAAGCTGCCTGGCTAAGTCTCCTCACTAGAAATTTCCATTGGAAATTGTATTTTTCAGGCTGTGACACTTCAAACTGAACTAACTTGCTTAAAATATTTTGAAATTCCCAAGGAAGATGTTTAGTTTGTATATTAGCATTGCTCCTGTGAAGTTTAGAACAATTTATAGCAACTTGTAATCCAGCCCATTTCTTTCTGACAGCATGTATCTAAACCCATTGAATAGTGTAAATGTCAATATGAACAAGTAGCTTACAACCATGCCATTCATATGCAGAATTTTAAGCACTGCAGGCTTAGGAGTCCTGTCATTCCTTCAACAGAGCAAGAGAAAGACCCATTTCTAGTTTCAGATGCATTTAAAAAAATAATAAAAGTTGAACTTTAACAGCACAGGTTCCCATTTTATCCTTCTATGTCCCTTGTCACTGTGTGCAGTTATGCTGGCAGATTCCTACCGCGGCAGAGCTGCAATTCTATTGCAATGGAGACAATTTCTTTTTCTTCACAGAGATTTCCTGCGTACTGGGGGAAGGCGTATGGACATAACGGGGCAGAACAAA